GACGTCTTGGAGGCGTCTTGGGCCGTCTTGGAGGCCTCTGGCGGGCCTATAGGGCCGTCTTAGGCCATCTTGAGGCCATTTGGGGCCGTCTTGGGTGCATCTTGGGGCCATCTTCGCTGTCTTGGAGACCTTCTTGGGCGTCTTGGAGGCATCTTGGAGGCCATCTTGGCCGTCTTGGAGGCCATCTTGGGCGTCTTAGGGGCCTCTTGGGCCGTCTTGGGGCCTTCTTGGAGGCCTCTTGGGCGCTCGTGGGTCGATGTTGGGGGCCTCTTGGGCCGTCTTGGGCCGTCGGAGAGCTGAAAAGAAGAAGATGCCAAAGTCCTTCAATAACCATAAGAAAATCAATGAATTTAACTCTATCGGGCCTTCCTGAAGGACGTCTTGGAGGGCTCTTGGGCCGACTTGGAGGCCTCTTGCAGGCCTTTTGAGTCTTAGACAATCTTGAGGTCATCTTGGGCCGTCGTGGGTGCATCCTTGGGCCATCGTGGCCGTCTTGAAGGCCGTCTGAGCCGTCTGGGAGGCATCTTGGAGGCCATCTTGGCAGTCTTGGAGGCCATCTGGAGCTTCTTGGGGGCCTCTTGGGCCGTCTTGGGGCCTTCTTGGGGCCGTCTTGGGGGCCTCTTGGGCCTTCCTGGGGCCGTCTTGGAGGCTTCTTGGGAACTCTTGGGGCGATCTCGAGGGCCTCGTGGGCAGTCTTGGGCTGTCGGAATCCGAAAATGAGCAACATCAATTTGTTTTGAAGAATCAATGAGTTTCACCTCTTCGGGCCGTCCTTAAGGACCCTGGAGGACCTCTTCGAGGCCTCCGTCTTGGAGGCCTCTTGGCGGCCTCTGAGGCCATTTGGGCCGTCTTAGGTGTTTCTTGTGCGAACTTGGAGGCATCCTGGACTGTCTTGGGCCGTCTTCGAGGGCATTTTGGACCATCTTGGGCGAACTTGGAGGCCATATTGGGCCATCGTGGCCATCTTGGAGCCGTCTGGAGCTGAACAAACCCTTGGCAACCACCTGTTGTGCACTTTTATGCGCCCTTCAGGGTGGCCGGCGGGACGGGCCGAAGCCCCAGGTGGAGCTCTGTTGGAAAATTTGGAAAGGATCCAGCACGCTGGGCACCCAATAGGGGGCGGCGGATCTCACCAGCCTCGAACTTATCCCGATCCCTAAGATTGACACGGCAAAAGGCGATGACAATCTTAGGGATGCGCCCTGAAAAACTAAGGGAATCCCTAAGGTTGTTGTGACGAGGCGATGCCCAGCTTAGGGATAGGCATATCTTCCAGGCTGGCAAGGATCGTGCGTCTCTCGGCCCATCCTGCCTCCGCGGCTGGAGGACAGCCGAGGCTTCCCGGAGGTTCGTCGCGATATCGCGGGGGACTCTCCGGGTGCCTCTCGGAGGGAGGTGTGGAGCTTCTCGGGGGGGCCGCGCGGGAGCCGCCTGGGCCTCATGGGGGGGCCTTCTGGGAACCCCTTGGGGCCCCTCGGGGGCCTCCTAGGTTTTTTCCCGGAAGGTTCGAATCGCCGGTTTGTGCTCCCGTTCCTGGAGCCGTACAAGGGGCCCTCGCGGGCCTTTTTGGGCGCCTCTCGGGCCGTTTTGCCGCTCTGGAGCCGCAATGGGCCTCGTGGGTTGTCGCGGGAGCCTCTCGGACCGTTTTGGAGCGTCGGAAGTTCGAGAAGGCGAGATCCCCAACAGCATTTGTTCATTGTAGAAAATAAGGACGCCGATGATGTGTGCCCTGGGGGGGCTTCTCGTGGATGCTCTTGGGGCGCTCTCGGGGTCTCACCGGGCCCTCTTGGTCCGTGAAGCGGTCACTTTGGGCGTGCAAGAGCTTTCTTGGACTTTCTTGGCGCCCTTCACGGCGTTGCCGCCACCCGCGGGTCCCCCCTTCCCTAAAAACTGATTCCGGGGCTTTGCCCTCTCTTGGCCTTGACGTGAGGCCCTTCCTTCTGCCTTCCCCCCTCCGTCAATTAAAGCCCCCCTTCCCCCTTCCCCCGGTCAGCCCGCCGCCACACCCTTCATCCTGCGGCGCAGGAGCGGCTGCGGAAATTGCGGACCCCCCCCCCCATTCCCAGCAGAGCCCCCCCGAGCCCCCCCGCCCCCCCCCCAGCAGGGCTGAGCTGAAGCTCAGGCTGCGCGTTTTTTGTTCGTGCGTGTTGCTTCTCAGAACTCACGCGCCATATTAATGGACTTATACCAATACGCCAGCATCCGCAACGCAACCTGACAACCGTTTACCCGGCGATTGACATGGAGGAACATCGTATGCCTCCCAACTGGTCGCGCGCGCCGGCCGCGGCGCCCGCCCTCGCGGCGGCCGCGGCCGCAGTAGTGATCGGCCGCCTCACGGTTAAGCTGGATCCGGGAGAGTCGAACTCGACCACTCGACCACGGCGCCAAGCCGATTGCCGACATAAATAGTTAGACGACTGTCGCGCGCGGTTTGAGATTCTTTTGTTCATAGTTGCGTTACTCGACCAGTTTCGCCATGGTCGACAATATGGTTGATTCCATGATCACTGCATGTTCGCATCCCGAGCGGGAGCGCTCACAGCAGGAAGCATATCATGACAGGATAGGGACGCATATGCCCAGAGTTCGCCGATCTATCCGTCAAGCTCGATTTCGTGAGCACTGCAGACGAGAAGGACGTGAATGTGAAAATGAAGAGGGGCAGCACAGAGAAGGAACGGACGAGGAGGTGAGCATCGACACAGAGTACGCGAGCGATAACTCGACGGAGGCTGCTCCGGGATAAATCCGGCATGCTGAGATCAGAGCAGCGTCTTGCGTTGCCGATGCCACGATCTAGTTGCAGCATGTCACCGTGCACAGAGGCACCGAATGGGGACATGCCCCGCCCCCCCGCCGTTACGTCAAAGTCGCGCGCCCGCGCGCTCCGCGTGCAGGCGCGGCATTGGGTGCCCTGTGGTTGGCACGTCCCCTTTTCCTTTCCCCCCATCCTTCGTGAACTGCAGTTGCTATTGTTTACACAAAACAATCGATCGCATAACGTGCTTTTCGACTGTTGCGCAGCGCGCAGGTATGCTTTCCGTAATTCGCGCGCCAGCATTGGATGCAGTGCTCGCGGGCATAATTATGTTTGTGGTATATCAGACGCGACTGCGCACCCAACGCTGGACAAAAAAGTAAACATCTTGGCGCGCATAGCGCACGCGGTGGCTGCGGCGGCAGTTGTGGTGCATGCGAGCGTGTTGGCGTCGAGCAGTCTAGCAGTGCGGTATACACAGATCGGGTTGTGCGCGCAGGCAAAGGGGTTAGGGTCCGTGCCCGCGGCCAACAATTCAAGAGACACAAACAAGTTGCATGATGAACTTGATACGTTCGGGCGGGCCATGGGTTTTTGGCGTTTGTTTAAATCGGGCACTCGGAGGTGTGCACGGGTTCTGTGGTGCACGCAGGCACGCAGTGGCGGCTGGCGCGCAGGTCCTTGCCAAAATGCGCCCAAAAAGACAACGTTTGTCCTTGTCAGTGGGGTGCTGCGTGGCGCTAGCGGCGCTCCGGTGATTGCGGTGCGCCACAAGTTCTTGGAACAATTCGTGTACTACCACCGCGCCGACCACGGCGCGGTGACCACCCCGTGACCCCGCAGTGACCAGTGTATGCCGAAAAGGACTTACGGCCGGCGCCGCCGACCCTGGGCGCTAGGAAGGGGGGGTGGATGAGAAGGACGAGGAGGAGGAAGGGGAGGAGGAGGAAGAAGCGGAGGAGAAGGAAAAGGAGGAGGAGGGAGAGGAGGAGGAGGAGGACGAGGAGGAGGAGGAGAATGAGAAGAAGGAGGAGGGTGAGGAGGAGGATGAAAAGAAGGAGGAATAGGAGGAGGAGGAACTGGAGGAGGAACACGAGGAGGACGAGGAGGAGGAGGAGGAAGAGGAGAAGGAGGAGGAGGAGGAGGAGGAAGAGCGGTGGAGGAGGCGGAGGAACAAGTAAAACGAAAAGGAAAGCAAGAGGGAAGAGGAGGAGGAGGACGGAGGAGGAGGAGGAGGAGAGGAAGGAGGGGGAGAGGAGGAGGAGGAGGAGGAGGAGGAGGAGAAGAACGAAAGGGAAAGGGGGAGAAGGAGGAGGTGGGGAGGAGGAGGAGGAGGAGGAGACGGAGGAGGAGGAGGAGGGGAGGAGGATGAGGCGGAGGCGGCGGCGGAGGCGGCGGAGGAGGAGGAGGAGGAGGAGGAAGAAGAAGAAGAAGAAAAAACATGGAGAGGAGGAGGAGGAGGGGGAGGAGGCAAAGGAGGAGGAGGAGGAGGAGGAGGAGGAGAGAGGAGGAGGCAGAGGAGGAGGAGGAGGAGGAGGAGGGGCCTCCTCCGAACTTTTTCATAGGGGCTCCGTCATGTGGACACCACCCTTTCGGTGGGCAGGAGGAGGAGGAGGAGGAGGAGGAGGAGGAGGAGGAGGAGGAGGTGGAGGAGGAGGAGGAGGGGGTGGGGGAAGAAAACGAGGACGAGGACGAGGACGTGGAGGGTCAGGAAGACGAGCGAGGAGGACGACAAGCAGATGCTGGGGGCAATGAGGGGAACTGAGGGATTTGAGTTCCGTGGGGCCCCCTTGGGCGTTTTCCTTGGTTTTGCCTTGGCCTTTCCAGGAGTTTCTTGGGCGCCTTATGAGGTCTCCAGGGGGCCTCGTGAGGCGGAAGGGTCGAACTGTTGGTTGGCTGTTTCCCTCATGGGACCCACCTGGGCAGTCTTGGGCGGGCCGTCCTGGGGCCGCGTTGAGCTGCTTCGGAGCCTTCTTGGGGGCCTTTTGGGCTATGGGCCCTCTCCGCGGCACAAGTGAACCCGAATCCCATGGTCCATGGTCCATGGTCCAGAACTCGTTTCCCTCGGGACCCGCTTCCTCCATACGAATCTTTTCCTTTCAATGCGCCCCTTGTGTCCCCCCCCCTCGTCCGCGCACCTGCCTCGGGACACGAGCTGCGAAGCCCCCCCTCGTGGACGCCCCCCCTCTCGGACGCCTCTGATTACTGTCCCCCTCCGCCTCCGCGGTTCCCCCTCCCACGCCGGCCAGGTGGTCCAGGCGGTGCCGGTGCAGATGCAGGGTTCGGCGGCCCCAGCTGCCGGCGCCCCCGCCTGCGGCTGCCCTCCGTCGTTCCGCTGCTCCCCGTCCGCGGGGTGGATCGGGGGAGGGGGTGGATTGACACTGTACAACCGACCCTGATCCCCACCCCCATCCCCATCCAGACCCCCACCCGCATCCAGACCCCCCCATGCCCACCCCCATCCCCATCCATCACCGAGCGCATTCCACTGCTTGCAAAGTGCCTACTTGCAGACGTCCGAAGAGCAAACGTCTGCCTCGATGTAATTTCTCGTAGATCCTCCACGGCGAATCCAGAACATCTGCGAGTAGTAGTGGAACGCGCTTGTCTAATCCAGACCCCCACCATCTCATAACCACAGATGGAGTTGGGATATATCTTTCGAATCCCGAAGGAAATAGCCTGGATTCCCATCCAAGGGGGGTAAAACGGCCAGTGGGGCCCAGGCCACGCCCATGGGGATAGGGGTCGGTTGACCGACGCCCAGAGATGGGAAGATGACGAATGATCCGAAGGACAACAACTGCATAAACATAAACTTGTGGAGTTCCTCGCCGATTTCTTTGATCGGCGCTGGGCCCCCCCCCCCCCTGGCGGCCCCCTCCGCGCCGCCCACGGCGCTCCCATGGCCCGCGCCGCCCATGGCCCCGCCCCTGGCACCCGCCCGCGCCGCCAGGGAGGGGGGTTAAGCGCAGATCTAAGAGATGCGCGCGGACCTCCAGAAGTGTATGTTTCTACCGTCCTGTCTTGCTCCAGCGTGATGGAGAGGATGGATCGGATCGACTCGGCGGCAGGGGGCGCCAGGAACCGCAGCGCGCCGCTTGAGGCCCCTCCACGGGGCCGCACGTCGTGGGCTCGCCCGCTCAGCAGCCGGCCCTGGCAGTAGCCATACGCCGCCCTGCCCAGCGGAGAAAGGATGGAGGGAGGAAGGAAGAAGATTTGAGGGACGGTGGGGGCTGGACGGGGGCGGAGGAGGGCGGAGGGATGGAGCACGGAGGAGGACGGACGGAGGGTGGAGGGAGGATGGATAGGGTGGAGGGGCGGTGAAGGGAGGTTGGAGGGAGGGTGGAGGGGAGGGCGGAGGGAGGGTGGAGGAGGGTGGAGGAAGGAGGGGGGTGGCTGATGGAGCGGGGAAAGCGAGGAAGACGAGGACGAGGAGGTGCAGGACGCCGCGCAGGAGCAGGGGGTCGGGCGCAAAATGACAGGAGCAGGGGGTCGGGCGGAAAATGACATGGAGAACCTGAAGGAATCTTTCACGCACCGACCACGAGTGGCCAGAACCATCCTTCGTTAAGGGCTTCACGCCGTCCCTCGACTCTCGCTGGAGCGGCAACGAGTTGCTCCGAATTTACCTGGAGATCTTTGGATTTACCGGGAATTACCTGGGTGCCCTCTGATGTTTCGGGTTTTACCTAGATTTTCGCATTTACTTTCATTTGTTTGACTTGATCCCCACAAGTCGACTGCCGAAAAGTCGTCAAGCCTTTAGGGAATGTGTCCCCCAGAGAAGGCGTGCAGACCATTCTGGACACGAATGCGATCATTACTATTGTTACTACTATTGTTTGCGGCTTGGCGCAGTTCTAAAGGTATCGATCCGCTAAACCCGCCCCCGCGAAGTATCTATTTTCGGTTCGGTGTTAGCTATAACACGAGGGCGTTCTTGATCGCCTCCCTGGGTTAAGCTTCTCTACGATCTGAGAACGGTGTGCTCCAGCGCGGCGGAGAGGCGCCGCCTCGACGGAGCACATTGCCGGGTGCCCAGAATGCTACGTGGCGTCAAACACCCAATCGCGTCGCATGTGTCGACGGACGGGTCGGGGACCGCTTTCAAACAGGTTACCTTGCGTTCGGGACAGTAGCGAGGGACAACCGGGCGACCCGCTGAGGGACTCAGTCTTCACTCCCGGCACGGCGGCCGCACCTCACCTCACAGATCGATGCGTCCGCAAGTGTGGACGGCCGAGATAGGAACGGGCAGTGTCTATCAATCCGTACGCTGTTCAAGTAGCTGGTGGATCTAATTGACGGGAAGATCCCATTCAAGACGAGCGTATCTTAACCGAACTCCATACACCGACGCTTTTTTCCGGCCCCGCACTGGAACTCGCACAGGGAAGCGGATCCTGGTGTATACGGGATCCTGGTGTGTAAATGTTTCGGTGTTCCCACGGGAAAACGGCCACCCCGACGTCGTCCCCGACCCCCAAGAGAGGTCCTGGGATTGAAACAAGATCCGCCATTGGTCATGCGTCTGTTCCAGTTTCCGATACCTGGAGAGAGAGAGCAGGTGAGCGCGGCGTGCGGGCTTCAGCGGGCCGGCAGCGGCGCGCGCACGGTCCTCCCCCCTCTCGCGTGCCCTCGGTCGCCCTCCCCTGTCGTTCGTCCCTTGCCGCTCGCTCCGCGTGGCCTCGCGTCCCCGCCCATCGTGCGTCCCTCCCTCCCTCCGCGCGTCCTCCTCGTCCTCGTTGTGTGTGTGTGCATTCTTCTCTCATGGAGCGCCGGCCGACGCGCTTTGGGCGCGCGGCTCTGTTTGTCTGTCTGTCAGGGCTTTCAGACGCTGGATCTGTGGATCGTGCGTGGACACCCCATGGCACCGACGGATGAGGACGGCGGAGGCAGGATGCGGGGGGGGGTGGGCGAGGTGGAGGGTGGGGGCGGACGAGGCGGACGACGATGAAAAGGAGCAGCGGGAGATGGAGAGGAGGGCGACGGCGCGCGCTGCCATATTTTTCTTTCTGCTTGTTGCAAACCGCGCTGCCGGCCCGAGGTGCAGTCCAGCAGTCTTGCGTGGCGAGGCCTGTGCAGGAGGAGGCAGTCCCCCCCGCCGCGCGATGAATTGAATCCCGGGCAAAAGGGTTTAATCCACGGCAGCAGGGTTTGATCCCCCGAAGCAGGTTGAATCCCCAGGAGAAGCGTTCATCCTCGGGCATCCGTCTTCATCACAGGTCCAACGCAAGCAAGATTCGGAAGTTCAGAATGCGCATGCCAGTCCTTGCGTTGACCACGTGAAGTAAGGGAAGATCTCTTGCCGGTGGTTCAACCGAACGGAGCTCTATATACAGTCATATTTATGGTGGTGATTCGATTGGAGTCCATACAATGATTTTTAATAAGAATCAAGTTGGGGTCCCTGCGGAATCCCACGTGAATCCTGCGTATGGGTTGCCCAGTGGCATCCGAATCGCATCCTGGATCCAATATGACTCCTTCCAAAGGAGATCCAATCGGATTCTTCCCTATTGGCATCCTAATAGGATCCTGCTGGTATATACCATGGAAACTTCTTGGGACCCGATCGGAACACAACTGACATCATCCTACGATTGGATTGGAACACGAATATTAGATTCGAATTTAAATTCTGAAAGAACCCAATCGGGATCCTGTTGTGTATCCGATTGGACCCCAATGGGAATATTATCGTATCTTTCCAATTGGAATCTTATCGGGCTCCGATCGGAACCCGATTGGAATCCGATCGGGTTATTTCCTCTTGGGTTCCTATTCGCATCCCCTTGGAAGCCAATTGGAATCCAAAGGCCTCCTTCAACATTGGAGTCCTACAGGGTTTTTTGTTTTATGGGTCCATCTAGGCAACCAGATTCCTTCCCATTTGGTTCCGATTGGACGCTTGTTTGAGCACAGTGGGGTTCCGTCGCATTGGATTCCTATTGCATGGGTTCCTCCACGAATTCTGTTGCAACCCAGTGACCGATTGGGTCTTGCTGGATTGTTATGGGGTCGCATGGGATACAACAGGAGTGTTCCTGATTGAGTTCTGATTGGAATGCAATCGGGTTCCTATTTGGACGGCAACAAGGCAGCACGTTGTGTTCCTGTCGGGCTCCCGTTGACGGACGTGTGCGATTTTTCTTCGGCAAGGACAATCGATGGGGTCACCTTGCGAAGCAATACAATCACTACGCCGAAACAAAAGGCACTGGGAATTCACGTCCGAGCGATGGCGAGCGATGTCGGTTGGCGGCCGTTGACAGCCGCGCATTTGTGCGCCGTGCTGGTGCCATGAGTAGTGACTGCCAAGGAGGCTCCAAGAACCCCACCAAGTGTTGTTCGCCTGGTTTGAGCTATACCCCAAGAGTTGCAGGCTATGGTAATGAGATCGAAGGACGTCGTTTAACCATGCCTGATGTATCCTCGCATTCCATAACACGGATATAACACGGATACTTTGTCTCCCAACTTAGTTATGCGGCCCCAGCTCACGCGTAGGTCTTTGGCGCAAGGCTGAAGTATTGTGGCCTCGCGCCAGTGTTTCGACGCATTGAGGACCAAGCTTCCAGGGACCACTGGAAGCACGTCCTGGCGAGGTGCTGCAACCAAATTTGGAAGAAAGGTAGGTTGATTGACGCTTTCGCAGACTATGTGTGGTGTAAGTGATACATGCGCTCGTCCGCGGTACGAGTAAGAATTGTCCGTTGGATGGTTGCAGTTCGGCGAGAGAAGCATTGAAGCGTAGACGGGAACGGGATGTTTCACGATCGATGCGAATGAGGACATCGCACAATGCTTGGGCTGCAGGTTTGCTGTTGGGATACAAGCGGCACCAAAAGGGCCCGACGAGGCAAGCATCGTCGCAGCCCAGTGGATGAGCGCACATGTTTAGCATGTTCGCTCTATCGGCCCGAAGAAGGTCCAGGACGGTTCAGCAGGTCCCCGAGATCGCCCCACGTCGGCCCAAGAGGGTTACAGGCGGATTTTGGACGAACAAGACGACTACCCAAAATGCCAAAATGTGTGTGTATGTGTGTGTCTGTGTGTCTGTGTGTCTGTGTGTCTGTGTGTCTATGTGTCTGTGTGTCTGTGTGTCTGTGTCTGTCTCTGTCTGTCTGTGTCTGTCTGTGTCTGTGTGTGTGTGTCTGTGTGTGTGTGTGTCTGTGTGTGTCTGTGTGTGCGTGTGCGCGTGCGTGTGCTTGTGCGTGTGTGTGTGTGTGTGTGTGTGCGTGTGTGTGTGTGTGTGTGTGTTTGTGTGTGTGCGTGCGTGTGCGTGTGCGTGTGCGTGTGCGTGTGCGTGTGCGTGTGCGTGTGCGTGTGCGTGTGCGTGTGCGTGTGCGTGTGCGTGTGCGTGTGCGTGTGCGTGTGCGTGTGCGTGTGCGTGTGCGTGTGCGTGTGCGTGTGCGTGTGCGTGTGCGTGTGCGTGTGCGTGTGCGTGTGCGTGTGCGTGTGCGTGTGCGTGTGCGTGTGCGTGTGCGTGTGCGTGTGCGTGTGCGTGTGCGTGTGCGTGTGCGTGTGCGTGTGCGTGTGCGTGTGCGTGTGCGTGTGCGTGTGCGTGTGCGCGTGCGCGTGCGCGTGCGCGTGCGCGTGCGCGTGCGCGTGCGCGTGCGCGTGCGCGTGCGCGTGCGCGTGCGCGTGCGCGTGCGCGTGCGTGCGCGTGCGCGTGCGCGTGCGCGTGTGCGTGTGCGTGCGTGCGCGTGCGCGCGTGCGTGCGTGCGTGCGTGCGTGCGTGTGCGTGCGTGCGTGCGTGGTGTGTGTGTGTGTGTGTGTGTGTGTGTGTGTGTGTGTGGGGGGGGGGGGGGGGGGGACGCATGCGGGTGGTCCCACTGGGGGCTTTGGTGGAGCTCCCCATGGGGCCACGAAACGCTTTAGTGGGTGGGTGAAAATCCCAAATTGGGTTTTCGGGTAGACGTACCGTGCCCATCAGGGAACTCCATCTGCAGCCCCGTGCCCCTCACTCAGATCGTGCCCCCGTGGGGATCTCCACCTACGGCGTCAGCAAGGGTGCCTGCTCGAGTTCCCCGCCGATTTCGACGCACCCCTCACGCCGTTCGTGCTCCCCCCTCAAGTTTCGTGCCCCCCCCGCATGCATTTCCGCCTCAGGCACCAGTGCGTGCATTCGCACGCCGTCCCCCGCCCATCTCTGCTGCACCGCTCACCGAGAGCGTCCCCCACGGGGAGCTCCACATGAGGTTCCAGCAGCACGGGTCGCCCCAGCCGCGCTGCAGACATCCCGCGAGGCAGCGGCGCAGAGGCGGAGGGGAAACCGGGCACAGCGTGAGCGCAGAGGTACGGCGAGGCAGGGGGGGCGGAGGCGAAGCACGGAGGGGCAAGCTGCCCGGGGCGCTCAGCGCGCGGCCATCGCATCGCGACCGGGGAAGTCGCGAGGGGGGAGGGCCCACGTGAGTCACCCCGCAGTCCGGCGCACCCCGCACACAGATCGTGCCCCCAGTCGGAGCCCCATCTGCGGCCCCCCAGTGAGGGCGGTCACGTGGATCCCCTCCCCGCTCATTTCGGCCCGGCTCCCACAAGTTGCGTGCCCTTCCTAGGAGCTCAATCGACGGCTCCAGAGGGAAAGGTCTCATGCGCCCCCCCCCAGATGCAATGCATCGCTTCGTGCACCGTAGGGAGCTCCATCGACGGTAGGTTCGTGTCGTGTCGACCAGCGGCGACCCACCCAGCGGCGTTCAACGTTGAACACCGCGAGCCACCCAGAATCGTTCAATGTGGAACGACTTGGACGTTTCGGAAGCGGCCGATCGTTCAAGGTTGAACGATCCCCTCGGTGTCAGAAACCAACGCCGAAGTCGGCACGACACGAACCTGTCGTACGGCCCAAGTGGGTTCGTTCGCATGGCCCCGCCTATTTCGGCACACCACCTCGGCCTGCAAGGCGTCCCCGGCCTTCGCCGCGGTGGTGTCCGAGGAGGCCTTTGCTGCCGACGACGCCGACGCCGCTGCTGCCGACGACGACGACGACGATGAGGACGACGACGAAGACGACGACGACGAGGGTGGTTGTCTTGTTGGAGGTGGTAGTGGTGGTGATGCTACTGCTGCTGATGATGATGGTGATGATGATAATGACAATGGTGATGATGATGATGATGATGATGATGATGATGATGATGATGATGATGATGATGATGATCCGGATGAGGATGAGGGTGAGGATGAACATGAGGATGAGGATGAGGACGGGGATGCGGATGCGGTTGTTGAGGTGGAGGGGGAGGAGTTGGAGGATGAGGATGAACATGAGGATGAGGTTGGGATGATGAGGATGATGATGTTGTTGATGGTGATGATGATGAGGAATCTGATGATACTGATGCTGATGAGGATGAGGATGAGGATGAGGATGAGAATGGTCATGATGATGATGATGATGATGATGATGATGATGATGCTGGTGCTGGTGCTGATGCTGATACTGCTGATGATGATGATGAGGATGAGGATGCTGATGCTGATGCTGATGCTGATGCTGATGCTGATTCTGATGATGGTGGTGGTGGTAGTGTCGTTGGTGGTGATGATGATGATGATGATGATGATGATGATGATGATGATGATGATGATGATGATAATGATAATGATAATGATTAATGATGGTGGTAGTGGTAATTAATAGGAGGAGTAGGGAGGAAGGGAGGGAGGGAGGGAGGGGGGACGAGGAGGAGTGCGGGAGGGTAAAGGCCACGCTCAAACGGGGGTTGCCCAGAGATTGCGCGCAGCCGCGATGGTGGAGGGGGACGGGAGAGGGGGAGAAAGCAAGAGCGTGGGTCAGGCCGCGGCGCTCTGCCTCCGCTGGCTTCGGGGTCCACGTCCGACGCCAAGATCTACGCGATCAGGATGATGATGATGATGATGATGCTGATGCTGATGCTGATGCTGATGATGATGATGATGATGATGATGGTGATGATGATGATGACGATAATGACGAGGAGGAGGAGGAAGGGGGTGGAGGAAGGGGATGGAGGAGGGGGGGATGAGGAGGGACCTTAGGATTGGCGGCAGGCGTTGGGGGCAAGTGAGAGAATGGGCGGGCCTCCTCAGAGGGCTCCGAAGGCCTCGGGCCTCCTGAGAAGTGTTCAGAAAGTCCCCCTCGAAGATACAATAGATTTGTGAGAAGGACGGAGGGTTCCTGAGAAGCTCCGCCGCCCTCTGAGAAGGCCTGCCCTTTCTCATTTTCCCTCTGGGCGCGCCGCCTGCAGGAAATGCACATGTATTCGACAGGAGAATGATGCGGATGATGAGGATGAGACTGAGGATACGGTTGATGATGGTGATGCTGTTGATTATAATGGTCATGATGATATTGATTATGATGATGATGCTGCTGATGCTGATGCTGATGCTGCTGATACTGATGCTGATAATGATGATGTTATGATTATGGCTGGTAGGATGATGGTTGATAGGATGATGCTGATGCTGATGGTGGTGATGATGATTGTGAGGTTGACGATGATACTGATGATGACGACGATTGTGCTGTTGTGGTGATATAATGGTTATGATGATGCTGATGATGTTGATGCTGATTATGGTGCTGATGATGCGATGATGATGGTTAATATGATGATCATGCATATTATGATGGTGGTGACGATGATCGTGATGTAGATGATGATAACGATGACGACGATGGTGATGATGATGGTGATACTGATGGTGATGATGATGCTGATGATGATGGTGATGGTGATGGTGATGCTCACGAGGACGGTTACGATGACGATGCCGATAGTGTTGATGAGGATGAGGAGGAGGACGACACTGTTGCTTATAGTGATGATGCGGATGATGACGATGATGCTGAAGATGAATAAGATGACGACGACGATGGCGATGACGATGAGCATGACGATGACGATGACGATGCTGATGATTATGGTGATGCTGATGGTGTGATGGTGATGGTGGCGTTGGTGATGATGATGATGATGATGATGATGATGGTGATGATGATGATGATGATGATGATGATGTTGAGAGTGATGATGCTGGTGCTGGTGCTGGTGATGATGATGCAGACGAGGAAGATGTTGACTGTGATGTTGATGACGACGGATGCCCATTACACATGACGATCATGATGATGACGATGACGATGCAAGTTTTTGACGGTGATGGCATGATGATGTTTATGATTCAGATTGCGATCTTGGTAATGGATCATTTACGTGTTATGAGGATGACTGTCTTGATTTATGATAATTTTGGGGGTGATGGTGATGAGGATGTCGATGCTGGCGTGTTGATGTTGGTTGTGATCGTGACTTCTTATGATTAGTATGATGACTGTGGTAGTGATGCTGATGCTAAAGCTGATGTTGATGGTGGGAGTGGTGATAGCAAGGAGACGCGGCGATGTCCGAGGATGGAGGAGGGAGTTCGGGAGGAAGCGAGATGGTGGGGAGGAGCCAGGCTGGTGGGGAGTGGAGTGCGGGGCGTGGGCTGGGCTAGAGTGTGCGAGCGAAGGAGGCTGGGAGGAGGGGCAATTCATATTCACCCATCATCGAAGATGAACAACGCGCCATACACATAACCTTTCAGAGATCCGCGCAGATTTTCGGATCGGCGTTGGACCCGCCTTCCTGGCGCGCGGAGCGCGGCAGGGGCAGCGCCAGAGGCGCCTCCTGGGGGGTTAGTGGCGATGCAACAAATCCGCGCGGACATCCGAGTGCTTATGTTTATTTCGTTGTTGTGTTCCTCGGACCTAGGAAGTCATCGCAGCCAAGCTCGGTTCATAAATCTTCTGGTTAATTGTCGTCGAGTCACACGTGGAAATCTGTTGGGACGGGGCTTGCAACAGGGAAGCCGGATGGGCCGCGAGTGCAGCTTGCAGGCCGATGTCATACAATACCATGAACTTCGTAATGATAGCCAATGCCAACGCCAATGCCATAGGATTCGTAATGGTAGTGGGAAATGCCCGAACTGCGTCGGAAGGATCACGAGGAGGGACCAGGAAGCCGAGGTGGTTGAGGAGGAGCGGCGCCGAGCAGGGGAAGGAGGCGGAGCAGGAGTTCTGAGGGGACCGGGCCCCCCACCGTCGGACCCCCCTGGGCCCCCCACCGTCGGCCCCACCTCGTCCGATCGACCGAGCAGATGTGTTTTTGATTGGGCGGGCTGTCTGAGTGCTCGATTTGCGGGCAGGAGGGCAGCTCGGCTGGTCGGCAGCCGTCTTCGGCTATGTGGGGCCATTTTGGACCCATCCCTTGCCATCTTCAAGCAGTGGCGGAGCGTCCTGAGCTGCGCATATCTCCCTAAAGAGCGTTCTAAGAACCTTGTTTTGGTTTGCACGAAGTGTTATCAGGAAATGTCTGGCTGAGACCGCACTGTTTTAATAGATGTGTATGTATGTATGTATGTATGTATGTGTGTCTGTCTGTCAGTCTGTCTGTCTGTCTGTATGTATGTATGTATGTGTGTATGTATGTCTTTCTGTATGTGTGTATACATGGATGTATGCTTGTGTGTATGCATGTATGTATGAATGCACGCATACATGCATGCAAGTATGTGTATGTATGTATATAGGTGTGTATGTCGTGTCTATGGATGTATGTATGTATGTGTTCATGTGTGCATGTGAGTATGCACGCATCCATGCATGTATGTTTCTATGTATGTACCATGTAGACGTATGTCAGTATGTCCATTGGTACATGTATGCGTGCATATGTGTATGTATGTGTGCATGCACCCACGTATGCATGTATGTATGTATGTAGGCAAATATGTAGGTAGGTATCTATGTGCATGTGTATGTTTATGTGTAGCCGTCGGTGTATGTATATGTGTATGTGTACGTGTATGTGTATGTGTATGTGTATGTGTATGAATATATGTATTTATGTAGGTATGTATGTATGTGTGTAAGGAGGCATGTATGCATCTATGTATGCATGTATGCATGTATGTCTGTGTGTATGTATGTATGTACGTACGTATATATGTATGTTTGTGTGTATGGTTGCATGCATGCATGCATGTATGTGTGGATGTGTGTATGTGTGCATGCATGTATGTGATTTATGTATGTATGTATGCATGCATGTATGTATGTACGTGTGTCTTTATGTAGGTTTTGTATGCATGTATGCATGTTCGTGTGTATGCATGTATGTATGAATGCATGCGTGCACGTATGTATGTGTTTATGTATGCGTGTATCTAGGTGTGTATGTCGTGTGCATGTATGTATGTATCCTTGTATGTATGTGTGTATGTATGTGTATGTATGTATGCATGTATGCATGTATATATGTGCATGTGTGCATGTGAGTATGCATGCATCCATGCATCTCTGCATGTTGTTTGTATGTATTGATCATATATACCTGTGTACATGTGTACATGTATGTATGCATATGTGTGCATTCGTGTGTGATTATGTGTGCGTGTATGTGTGTATGTGTGTATGTATGTGTAGGTATGTGTATATACGTGTGTACATGCATGTATCCACGTATGTGTGTATGTATGTGTGTCGGCAGGTATGTAGGTAAGTAGGCACGTGCATGTGCATGTGTATGTGTAGCCGTAGGTGTATGTACGTGTGTATGCGTACGTGTATGTGTATGTGTGTATGTATGTGTGTCTGTATGTATGTTTGCATGTATGTGGGTATGGTTGTGTGCATACATGTATGCATGCATACACATGCATGCATGCATGTGTATGCATGTATGTATATATATATATATGTGGATGCATATATGGATGTATGTATAGATGCATGTGATGTATGTATGTATGTATGTATGTATGCATGCATGCATGCATGCATACATGCATGTATGTATGCATGCATGCATGTATGTATGTATGTATGTATGTATGTATGCATGTATGTATATATATGCATGTATGTATGTATGTCTGTATGTATGTATGCATGCATGCATGCATGTATGTATGTATGTATGTATGTATGTATGTATGTGTAAGGAGGCATGCATGTATGTACGTACGCACGTACGCACGTACGTAATTATGCATGCATGCATGCACGCATGTATGCATGTCTGCATGCATGCATGCCTGCATGCATGCATGTATCGGGTGCATGATCCAAGAGCATCGCTCTTTTTCCTGGAGCGCCTTCCAGCACCCAGCGCATGTCGTGGCAGGCCTTGTGGAAGGCCCATGCCGGGGCGGTCCGTCCCTGCTCAGCTCGGGGCTCGAGAGACGGGGGCCAGTGCAAGCGGGGTTCAGCCAGAGCGCGGGATTTGGCAGGATCCTCTAGAGGAGGAGAAAGTTTCCCACACCTCTACCCTTCGCCCGTTTTTCCCTTTTTCGGCCTCCTGGGTGGCCCTCGTCGCCACCGCTGGATTCGCCTCGAAATTCTGGCCAGAACGCACCCCAGGAAGGGTCGTGGAGTCGCGGTATCTGTACCTTTTGGTTTCCCCAATCCTGCAGAGCCAGGGTTGCAGTGGCTTGGGTGCAGGGTCCTGCAGGATCCTGCAGGATCCTGCAAAGCCTGACTCACGCGGGTCCGTGGATCCCCGGTCCACGTTTTGGACGCCCCGGGGCCTCTCCTGCGGGGGGGTGCACTGGGGGCGCCCACACCGGGGGGGAGCGGGGGGCAGAGGCCCTGGGCGTCCGGCGAGGGCGAGGCCCGGCAGGCGCGAGAGGGTGCGCTGGGGGCCGGAGGAGCTTCTCGTCGGCCCCCCCCCGGAGGTCCTGCGGAGGATCGGCGCGAACGAAGTATAGGGGAACAAACAGTGACATAAACATAAAAACTCGGAGGTCCGCGCGGAGCTCTCGGATCCGCGCTGGACCCCCCTGGCGGCGCCTCCGGCGCCGCCCCTGGCGCGCTCCGCGCGCCAGGGAGGGGGGTTCAGTGCCGATCCGAGAAATCCTCGCGGACCTCTGAGTTTGTATGTTTATGACACTTGTTGTTCCCCTAAAGTAGGTCGCGGGAAGAATGGGTACGATGCTCAGCATCAGTTCCTGCTCCTTTTGGACAGGCCTCGCTGTCCGCGCCGCCGCGGACGTTGCCCATTTGAGACAGAAGGCCGCCTGCCCAACAGCGGCCGCTGTCGGTTTGGGAGAACATGTGTTGTTGGGCGTACCCATTTTGGGCGTCCAAAGAGGAACCGGAGGCAATGGTTCGGCGGCGGGCGAGGGGGGGGAAGTGAGAAGGGGCGGGCCTTCTCAGAAGGCTTGAGAAGTTTTGCAAGCCTTCCGTCCCCGAAGACAGAGGAAATTTCTCAGAAGGCGCGAAGGCTTCCGAGAAGCCCCGCCGCCTTCTGAGAAGGCTTTCTCCTCCTCAGTTTCCCCCCTCGCCCGCAGCCGGGTGGTGATGACGCGTTCCTCGGAATTTTGAAATTTTTAGGGCTTCCATGGTGTCCAGGACTACCCACTGTTCCGCGCGGACTGCAGAAACGAGCTCCGCTGGATACCCCAGGATTCCTGGAAAGTGGCCCGAGCCAATGGTATCATTGCATGGTTCTCGTTCCAGTGCCAAGGAGCGCGTTCAAGCAGCTGCGCCCCGCCGAGAGCGTTTCGGGGATGCCCGAAGGCCCCCCGGACGGCCGCCCGTCGGGGGTCCCCAAACCGTGTGGTGATGGACCGCGCGGTGACCTCGGAATCCCAAGCGACCTCACCGCGCGGTCCGGCACCGCTCGTCGTGGGGGCCCTGGGGGCACCAGTCGGCCCGAGACGCCCTCGGAGAACGGCCCGAGGCCGAAGACAGCGCGGTGACGCCTCGAACCCCCCCTCCACACGCGGCGTGGCCACCATGGCATTGCGGGGTCCCCGAGCCGGAGGGCCCCGTGGCACAGGCCGCTCGGAGGACTCCGCGCGCGCGCGGCGGTGCCCCCCGGAGGAGGGAGGAGGAGGAGGAGAAGGAGGAGGAGGAGGAGGAGGAGGAGGGCGGAGGGCGGAGAGAGAGGAGGAGGGCGGAGGAGAAGGAGGAGGAGGAGGAGGAGGAGGAGAGAGGAGGAGGAGGAGGACCCCCCCTTCGCGAGGCACCGCCGGTGCTGCTGCTCGGGGACTCCCCTGCGGGGCGCTCGCCGCCTGCGAGCGGCGGCCTGGAGGCTCCGCCGCTGCCCCCTGCTCCTCCTCCCCCTCCTCCTTCTCCTCCTCCCCTCCCCCTTCCTCCTTTTCCTCGTCCTCCTCCTCCTCCTCCTCCCTTCTCCTCCTCTTCCTCGTCCTCCTCCTCCTCCCTCCTCCTCCTCCTCCTCCTCCTCTCCTCATCTTCCCCCTCCTCCTCATCCTCCTCCTTCCTCTCCTCCTCCCCCTCCCCCTCTTCCTCCTCCTCCTCCTCCTCCTCCTCCTCCTCCTCCTCCTCCTCCTCCTCCTCCTCCTCCTCCTCCTCCATCTCTCGAGGGAACGCTAGCATGGATTGAGGCGCGTGGATTAGCTGGTGCTCCCGTATCCATGCAACATCGGCGCACGCTGTTGCCAGATGAGGCGGCCCTGGCCTCCTGTGTCGGGGGTACCTTCCCCGATCCATGGGTCTGGCGCCCACGCACCAGATCCACGGATCACTAATCCATGCTAGCGTGCGCTTGATATTCGATTCGATCGATCGGGTTCGATGTCGATTCCAGTCGGCCAGATCCGATTCGGTTCCGAGATTCCGACGATCCGATGTGGCCCGATGCTTGCACGGCGCTGCCGTGCACCCTGGCGAAGCCGACCCGATTCGGTTTGGGCTCCGTACCGATGCGGCCCGATCTGACGCATGTCTCGATTCGACCCGATTTGCTTCGACGCTGACTGCCTCGCGAACGGGGGTGGGGTAGGATGGACTCACCTGGGAGGGGGCTGGTCACCGCCAACCTTCGGATGCAACTCCTGGGAGGTCGAATTCTGGCTTTGCCCTGGTCCGAAATCCGGCTTCATCTGGCTTCAGCCCGTTGAATCCGGCTCAATTCCGCGCAGTCCGGCCTCATCCCGCTTAACCCGCGGCCTAAGCCGGCGTGGCAGCCCCCCACTGGGGCTCAATCGTCTGCAGATTTGGTCGACGATGACTTCCCAGCAGTTGCCTCCCAGCCAAGATCGCCCGTGGCCGAGGGGACAATCCAGGGTAGCGTTAAGTCGGGCCTGTCCCTCTACGGGGGGAATATGTAAAAATAGTCAAAAATAGTCTGGGGATTATTTTTTCAGTATGTCTGGGCATCTTTGGGGCATTTTCGGCGTATGTGTAATTTTCCGTCCCAAATCCCCCCCGTAGGGGGACACGCCCGACTTCAGTGTAGCGTCTACTTCCGATCCAGGGGCCCCGTTCCTTTCCCCCTTCCCCTCGCTCCGCCTCGTCCCCCCCCCCCCTCCGTGGCGGGCGGCGCGCACCATGGGGAGGAGGGGGGGGGCTGGGCGCCGAGTTTCTACCGACCACTACCCCAGGGAGGAGAGGGAGGAGGAGAAGGAGAGGGAGGAGGAGGAGGAGGAGGAGGAGGAGGAGGAGGAGGAGAAGAAGAAGGGAGGAGAAGAAGGGAGGAGAAAAAGGGAGGAGAAAAAGGGAGGAGGCGGAGGAGGAGGAGGAGGAGGAGGAGGAGGAGAAGGAGGACCTCCCCATCCTCCCTGCTCCCCCGTCCTACCATGGTAGTGGTGGTGGAACACTGGCCCATCGGGAGGGGGGCGGCCTCGAGGGAGGCGGGGGGCTCCCCGAAGGCCTCCCCAAGGGCTCATCTCGAGGCCTCCGACTCGGATTCGATTCCGATGCCGATTGGACCTCGGGTTCCGATTCGGACCTCGGTCTCTCAATGGGGGCCTGACCAGCCTGCCGGAGATTCTGCCGATGCGACTTCTCCCTACTGGGCTGCCGATGTCCGCCCATCCTGTCCGTTTCGATCGCCGATCCGACTCGTGGGTTCGATTCTGAGCCCTCCTGCCTCCCAGCTTCCCAGCGGCCTTCTTGGAAGCCACCACAGGCCATTCTGAAAAAGGCTCCCGCTTGCTGAGAAGCCCCCCCCTTCCTTGTCGGAAGGCCACCACGCCCTTGCGCGGCCCCGCCCCTCTGCGCGCCGCCGGCCCCGCCCGAAGCTGCAGGGTCTCCACGCGAAGCGGGGGGGGGCCTCGATCGAGGTTCCGGATAAAAAGTTCGAAGGAGAAAAACGCCATAAACAGAAATTCGTTCGGAGAAGAAAAAAACGCCATACATGTAAACTTGTTGCGCTCCGCACGGATTTTTTGGATCCGCGCTGGGCCCCCCGGCGGCGCCTCCGGCGACGCCCCTGGCGCGCTCCGCGCGCCAGGGAGGGGGGTCCAGCGCGGATCCAAGAAATCCGCGCGGAGCGCCAAAAGTTTGCTTTTATGGCGTTTGTTCTTCTTCTATGAGTGTAGTTCCCTGGTAGACTGCCGAAAACAAGAATCGACACCATTAGAAATGCTTAGCCTCTCGTCGAGACGCCGTGCACAAATAATCTATGTGTACCTATGTTTGGAAATGTTGGAAATTACAGTTGTCCCGCTGAGGCCCTGTGATGATAGTATCTAAAAGCACCTATTTTGGACCGTGCCTACACAATTGTTTGCGCATCGGCTGTGTCTCTATTGGCGTCTGTGAGTGTCTAAGTAGTGTCTTTGTTTGAACAACCTCATCTAGTTTCTAGGCACGAGGTTGTTTACGGAGTAGAGTTGAGAAGATAAATTCCAGGCATTCCACTACATGCAATGGAAGGTGGCGTGGATGTGTGCACGTGAACGTGTGCATATGTACCTGAGTGCATGGGTCTGTGTGTGCATGTGCATACATGCGTGCGAAAGTGCATGGATGACGCAAGCACGTGTGTGTGTGCGTGTGTGTGTGAGAGAGAGAGAGAGAGAGAGAGTCTGTGTGTGCTCGTGTGTGTGTGTGTGCGTGTGCGTGTGTGCGTGCGTGTGTGTGTGTGTGTGTGTGTGTGTGTGCGTGAGTGTGAGTGTGCGTGTGCGTGTGCGTGTGCGTGTGCGTGTGCGTGCGCGTGCGCGTGCGCGTGCGCGTGTGCGTGTGCGTGTGCGTGTGCGTGTGCGTGTGCGTGTGCGTGTGCGTGTGCGTGTGCGTGTGCGAGTGTGAGTGTGTGTGTGTGTGTGCGTGCGTGCGTGCGTGCGCGCGCGCTTGTGTGTGTATTTGTACGTGTGCGTGCGCGTGCGAGTGCGTGCGTGTGTGCATGTGTGCGTGTGTGTGTGTGTGTGCTTGTGCGTGTGTTCGTGCGTGTGTGCGTGAGTGCGTGCGTGTGTGAGTGTGTGCGTGCGCGTGTGCGCGTGTGTGTGTGTGTGTGTGTGTGTGTGTCTGTGTGTGAATCTGTGTTTGTGTGTGCATTCGTGCGTGCGCATGTGCGTGCCTGCGCGTGTGTGTGAGAAAGAGAGAGAGAGAGAGAGAGAAATAGAGAGAGAGAGAGTCTGTGTGTGTGCGTGTCTGTGTGTGGAGGGCCTTGGAGGGCCCCAAGAGGGCGCCAGGGTTGAGTAAACACGAAGCCTCGAGTGATATACGCTGCTGAGGCCTACCTCTCGGACCCCTGCTTTGGCCCTCTTGGGGTCCTCTGGGGGCCCTCCAATCTCGGACGGCCCCTGGAGGGTCCCAGGAGGGCCCCAGGGGGACCAACTGGGGTGGATAGAACCACAGCCTCGAGTCCTGTGCACCGCTGGGCGCCTCTCCCGGACTCCTCGCTTGGCTTCCTCCTGGAGCTCTTTTCGCCCCCCCCCCCCGAGACCACGCTTGGAGAGCCCCGGGAGTGCTTCAAGGGGTCCCCCCAAGAGGGCTCCAAGGGGGTTGAGGCGTAGTCAAGAGGCCCGTGCGGGGCCGTCTCGGGGCCCTCCGCGACGGCATAGGAGAGGGAGCAGGAGGAGGAGGATGAGGAGGACAAGGAGGACAAGAAGGAGGACAAAGAGGACAAGGGGGGAGGAGAAGTAGTAGGAGGCTGAGGGGGGGGGGGGAGGAGAACAATGAATCTGTAGCATTGGCAGGAGGATGAGGAAGAGGAGGAGGAGGAGGAGGAGGAGGAGGAGGAGGAGGAGGAGGAGGAGTTGGACGACGACGAAGTGGAAGACCGCCCAGGGCCGACTGGCACATCTCGGACTGAGCTGGGCCAGTTGGCCCTAGGCAGTCTTCCTCCTGCTCCTTCCCCCCCTCCAACTCCCCCTCCTCCTCCCTCGTCCGCCTCGCAAGGCCCCGTAAATGTCCAAGGAGGCCCAGGAGGAGTCAAGACGAAGTCACGCGACTGCTCTTCTTTGAGCCCCCTTGGGGCTCTCTTGATGCTCCCGGGGCCCTCAAATGCCGTCTCGGAGAGTCCCAAGGCGGCCCCAAGTGCTCCAAGTGGGGCCCCCTCCCCAGAGAGATCCAGGAGGGGCCGCGCACACAGAAATGTACGTATATACGCACATGCACACTGTATACGACGAGCCCATTGCTCAGTTTGATGGTCACTTTCGGGCAAGTTGGGGGGGCACCCTCCTCATCAGATAGAGGTGCCTCCTCGACCCCGGCATGCCCATCGTTATCCTTCCCCTCCTCCTCATCCTCCTCCGCTTTCGTCCCCCACCCCCACGCCCCACCCCACATCAAGATCATCTTCATGCGTAGTAGGTTTGCGAGGAAGGGTCGAGCTGAAGCCGATGTCGTTGTAGCTGGGCCAGGGCTTCAAGGACCCACATTTGACGTGAAGCCTCGCCCGAGCGGGAGCTTGGTTTTCAGAGGAATTGTAGCTGGCGTCATGGCGAGAGCGCGCGGAACCGTTTCCAGTGATCAACCACACTACGCACGAGTATTCGTTGACCGCAACGAAGACGAGTTTAAGGCGACAGCCATGACGATGAGGACGGAGAGGATTCTGCTTACGATGATGGTTGTGGTGTTGATGGTGATGGTGATGATGCTGTTGATGATGATGATGCTGATGATGATGATGGTGATGGTGATGGTGATGCTTATTAGTATGATGCTGACGGTGATGGTGGTGACGATCATTATGATGGTAATGTTGATGTTGACTGTGTTGATGCTAATGGCGAATGATGATGCTGCTGATGTTGATGCTGATGGTGTTGGTGATGGTGATGATGGTGATGCCGATTATGATGATGCTGCTGATGATGATGGTAATGGCGATGGTGATGATGCTGATGGTGATGATGATGATGATGGTGATGCTGATGATGGTGATGATGAGGATCATGAACATGATGATGCTGATGGTGATGATGATGCTGATGATGACGACGAGGACGAGGATGATGATGATTTTGATGGTGCCGATGCTGCTGATGATGATGCTGGTGATGATGGTGTTGATGCTGATGCTGATGCTGCTTATGGTGATGATGATGATGATGATGATGATGATGATGGTGATGGTGATGGTGATGGTGCTGCTGATGATGATGATGCTGATGATGATTATGATGATGATGATGATCATGATGATCATGATGATGATGATGATGATGATGATGATGATGATGATGATGATGATGATGATGATGATGCTGACGACGAGGATGATGCTGATGGTGACGATGCTGATGATGCTGATGGCGATGCTGAAGCTGCTGACGTCGATGCTGATGATGCTGATGCTGTTGCTGATGATTCTGATGCGGACGCTGATGATGATAGCGACCATGGCGATGGCGATGGCGATGACGACCCACGAACCGACGACTTCTGTTTGGTATTTCCAGGATCCTCTTGGGATGTCTTAGGGTGCAGTGGAATTCCGTGGAATTCCTTATGTTTGCTTAGGATACTTGAGGGTTTGCCGATGAATCCCTTAGGATAGTCTTCCTAAGGATGTCCTGGCGAATTCTTTTGAATTCCCCAGGGGGCAAGGATCCCCTGGGTTTCCTTATGGTTGCTCAGGTTTCCTCAGGTGTCCCTAACGATTATCCAGGGATTTCCTAGGGACCCCTTGGGATACGATTCTTCAGGATGCCCAAGAGACCCTTCTAGATTCCCTGGGGACTCTTGGGGCTTACTTCGGCTTCCTGACATCTCCTTAGGACTACCAGAAGGGAGTCGTTAGAGATCCCGTAGGATAGGATGCCTTGGGGTCCCTGAGGGATTCCGAACGTTCTGTGAAGACTTTCCGCAGGATTCCCGAGGGGGCCCTTGGCTAAGGATTCCTTCGGAGTCCTTGGGATCCTTTTGGATTCGTTAAGGATTTCGCTGGGTTTTCTTTAGGGTCACAATGGATTCCATTGGAATTCCTTCGGACATGATTCCTCTGGATTCCCCCAGAATTCGCAGAGAATCCAACAAGTTCCTTGGGATCTTTTCGGGCTCTTTGAGATGCCTTGGCATTCCCTGGGAGGTCCTTAGGTTCTTCAGGGGTTCGGAGGGTTTCTTAGGGATCTCTTAAGGATTCCCGGGGATTCTATGGGGAGTCCTCGGGGTTCCCGAGGGGTTGCGATTCCATAGCGATCCTTTACGATAGAATTTCTGATGACTCCCTTCGGAATCCTCACGGATTCCTTTGGATCCCCGAGGGGTGGCCTTGGGGTTCCTCAGGATAGGCTTCCTTGGGATACCCTTGGAAATCCGTAGGGATCCCGTAAGAGGGAGCGCGTAGGGAAGCGCAACACCAACAATACTAACAATAATCCTCTCAGTCGCAGAGGTAGGTGTTGTGGTACTAGTGGTAGTAGTAGTAGTAGTAGTAATAGTAGTAGTAGTAGTCGTAGTAGTAGTAGTAGTAGTAGTAGTAGTAGTAGTAGTAGTAGTAGTAGTAGTAGTAGTAGTAATAGTAGTAGTCGTAGTAGTAGTAGTCGTAGTAGTGGTAGTAGTGGTAGTAGTAGAAGTCGTAGTAGTAGTAGTAGTAGTAGCAGCAGCAGCAGCAGCAGCATTGGTGGTAGTGGTGGTATTCGTAGTAGAGTCAGCAGTAGCGGTGGTCATTGCAGAAATAGCAGTTGTTGCATTTCCATTGGTAGTTAGTAGTAGTAGTAGTAGTAGTAGTAGTAGTAGTAGTAGTAGTAGTAGTAGTAGTAGTAGTAGTAGTAGTAGTAGTAGTAGTAGTAGTAGTAGCAGTAGTAGTAGTAGTAATAAAGTAGTAGTAGTAGTAGTAGGAGTAGTAGTAGTAGTAGTAGTAGTAGTAGTTGTAGTAGTAGTAGTAGTCGTAGTCGTAGTCGTAGTCGTAGTCGTAGTCGTAGTAGTAGTAGTAGTAGTAGTAGTAGTAGTAGTAGTAGTAGTAGTAGTAGTAGTAGTTGTAGTAGCAGTAGTAGTAGTAGTAGAAGAAGAAGTAGTAGTAGTAGCAGCAGCAGCATTAGTGGTAGTGGTGGCATTCGTAGTAGAGTCAGCAGTAGCGGTGGTCATTGCAGAAATAGTTGTTGTCGCATTTCCATTGGCAGTTGCAGTAGCAGGGATAGTAGTAGTAGTAGCAGTAGCAGTAGTAGTAGTAGTAATAAAGTAGTAGTAGTAGTTGTAGTAGTAGTAGTCGTAGAAGAAGTAGTAGTAGCAGTAGTTTTTGTAGTAGTACAAGTCGTAGTAGTAGTAGTAGTAGCAGTAGTCGTAGTAGTAGTAGTAGTAGTAGTAGTAGTAGTAGTAGTAAAGAGCAGTCTCACTAGTTGCAATGCCGGTAGTGGGGGTCGTAGTAGTAGGAGTAGTCGTAGATGTAAGAGCGGTGGTAGCAGCAGTACACGAAGTCGGTGTAGTAGGTGGTACTATAGTAGGAGGAGTAGTCGAAGTAGTAATAGTAGGAGCAGTCGTAGTATTAGTGGTAGTTTTAGTAGTAGTCGAGTTAGTCGTAGTATTAGACGTACTCGTAATCGTAGGTAGTAGTAGTGGTAGTAGGAGTATAGCGGCAGGAGTATATGTAGTAGTGGTAGTCGTTGCCGTAGTGGTAGTAGTAGTAGTAGTAGTAGTAGTAGTAGTAGTAGTAGTAGTAGTAGTACCATTAATAGTAGCATTTGTAGCAGCAGTAGTAGTAGTAGTAGTAGTAGTCGTCGTATTCGTAGTAGTAGTAGTAGCAGCAGTAGTAGTAGTAGTAGTAGTAGTGATCGCATTCAGCGCGTCAGTCGTGCTAGCAATTGTTGAAGTCGTAGTAGTAGTAGTAGTAGTCGTAGTAGTCGTAGTCGTAGTAGTAGTCGTGGTAGTAGCAGCCGTCGTAGTAATAGTAGCAATAGCGTAGTACAAGTGTTGTTGGATGTAGAAGTAGAACTAGTATTGTCCTAGTATTAATAGTAGTAGTAGTAGCCGTAGTAGTAGTAGTAGTAGTAGTCGTCGTAGTAGTAGTAGTAGTAGTAGTAGTAGTCGTACTAGTAGTAGTAGTCGTAGTAGTAGTAGTTGTTGTAATCGTAGTAGTAGTAGCATTACTAGTAGTAGTAGTCGTCGTAGTAGTAGTAGTAGTAGTAGTCGTAGTAGTAGTAGTAGTAGTAGTAGTAGTATCAGTGGCAGTGTAGTAGAGATACTGATAGCAATAGTTGTAGTTCCAGTAATCGTGGTAATTGTAGTAGTCGTAGTAGCAATAGGAGGCGTAATCGTAGTCGTAGTAGTCGTGATTTTGGTCGTGCATGTAGTAGTAGTGGTAATAGAAGTAGTAGTGTAGTAGTAGATGTAGTAGTAGTAGTAGTAGTAGTAGTAGTAGTAGTAGTAGTTGTAGTAGTAGTCGGAGCCGTAGTCGTAGTCGTAGTCGTTGTCGTTGTCGTTGTCGTTGTCGTTGTCGTAGTCGTAGTCGTAGTCGTAGTCGTAGTAGTAGTAGCACTAGTAGTAGTAGTCGTCGTCGTAGTACTAATACTCGGTGTAAGAGAAGTAGTTGTAGTAGCAGCACAACTTCTATGGTAAGGAGTCGTAGTAGTAATTCTTCGCCGTTGGAATTCCTGTAGGAGTACCGCCGCTATACCCCCGTGATCCATCATGTTGCTCTCTCATCACACTGCAAATTCAAACTATTCCGTATGCAACCACATGTCCCCGCGATACACGCAAAATGCCCCGCTCGATGCATTCCGTAGTAGAACGGAGATATGTTGGTGCATGTTGGTGCAGACACGCATGTATCGTGAACATTGTGGCATTTGTTTTGGAATTATCAATCCTTTCCGGCGTCGCGGCGCGTCGAGGCGCGCCGATGGGAAGAAGGAGAGAACGAGCGGAGGACGAGGAGGAGGACGAGGGAGAGAACTACATAATTTCGGGCTTTGCAATGGGATCTCTATGCGTTCAAAGCTTTGTAAACATTATTACCGCAACAGGGGCGTTCGAAGGGGAAGGGGGGAAAAGGACGAGAAGTATCCGGCAGCAGCGGATTGCGCGATGCGACATCAGCGGATTGCGCGCATGGGTTTGCCCCCCCTCTCCCCGCGCCCGCTTGAAGCCGCGCACCAAAGGCCATTGTTGCCCAGGGTCACTCATTGCGTGGAGCCGAGAGGGCCCCCTCCCCCGGAGCCCGAAAATGGTCAGCACCTTGATTTTTTTCCCCTCTCGACGCGAGGAGGGCTCCTCCCGCCAGCGAGGAAGAGCTGAGCCAGGCCAGCTCGGACGACGACACCGAGACGACCTCCGACGGGTGCGCGCCCGACCTCGAGCGGCCGGGGAGCGGAAGGGGGCGGGGGAGGAGCGAGAGGACGAGCGGGGGCAACAGAGGGGGGTCGCGTCGACCCCCAATCGCCCACTGATCGCCGACAGGGGCCCGATAGCCCCAGCTTGCCCAGGAACGTGCGGATGCACTAGCGGGAGCCTGTCGCCGATCTATCGGCGATGTATCGCCGATTTCAGATCGACGTGCCCCCCCCCCCCCTCGCCCCCCTCCCCCTGTGCCAGTTCCCCCATGTATTTGTTTCCTTCAAACGAGCAGGGGGACATATGGAAGAGGAGGAAATGGCACCGCTACCGCTACCATCTCCTCGTTCTGTTCTGTTGGGCCTCCTGGGAGGCCCTCGTCGCCACGGGTGGATTCTCATCAAAACTCTGGTCAGCACGCATCCCGGGAGAGGTCGGGGGAGTAGCGGTATCGGTCCTTGCTTTGGTCTCCCAAGATGTGTGATGGAGACGGAGAGACGGGGGGAAGGACGCGATGGAGGAAGAGGATAGGGGTTGGGGGAGGAGGCAAAGGCGGAGAAGGAGGAGGAGAAGGGAGAGGATGAGCTGGAGGAGACATATGATGGTAGCGCGGAGGATGAAGGGAGATGGAGGAGCAGGAGGCAGAGGATCAGGAGGAGAATGAGGAGGACCAGCATAAACAGGTGGAGGATGATGGGCGTGATTATGAGGCTGAGGGGAGCAGTGTAAGTAGACGTAGAATATGAAGTGGATGATGAGTACACAATGACGCAATTATAGTATCCGAGACACATAATCAGCAGCGTATGGAGGAGTGAGACGATGACGGATGATAGGATGATTCGGAGGATGATGGAAGGCAGGCAAGGGTGGGATTTGACGGGAGGGGGAGGTAATAGAGCGCGGGAGGGATGAGGGGAGTAAACGAGGATGCATGAACGGACGGACGGACGGGGGGCGGGCAGAGGTTGGACTTTGATCGAGAAGACGCAAACGCTTGTACAGAGTTAGTTCAGGGAGATTAGATGTTACGGAGCTACCCAGGGGATACCATCGGAATGCATCGCGTCAGCGCATTACTTTCCAACACATCGGCGCGTGTGTCACATCCGTGTGCATCAGGATGAGGAGAAGGAGTGAAGGGATACGTGGAGAAGACGGAATTGAATTGATAATGAGATTCAGGATTCTGAGAACCATGATGCCGATGACGTTGCTGTTGCTGCTGCTGACGACGACGATGATGATGCTGATGCTGATGCTGATGCTGATGATGATGATGATGATGATGATGATGATGATGATGATGATGATGATGATGATGATGATGATGAGGTGAAGCAGGATAAGTTGGAGAAGAGGAGGAAAACGAATACGAGGCCCCACACACCCCTCTAAGTGTCACCCGCGACCCGCGCTGAACACGCTTTTGTAGGGCAACAGAGGGCACGAGCTGAAAAACACCGACCGACCATAGTTCACCATTCGAGGAGGAACAAATGGCAGACTCATCAACTGTTGGAGCTCCGCTCAGACTTCTTGGACTGGCGCTGCACCCATTTGGCGGCGCCTCTGGCGGTGCCCCTGGCGTGCTTCGCGGAGCTCCGAGAAGTTTATGTTTATGCCCTGTTTCCCTCTTCTAGCCATCGGGCACCAGGCATCGGGCGCCGACCACGTGGCACCAGCCATGGGGCACCATCACAGCACCACCAACCATGGGACATCATACAGTGGAAACCCATGCCAAGAAACACCTTGCTTGCCTCCAGGGTGCCCTTGTTTTTTGGGGTCTCGATGGATTTGCTGTGGAAAGCGAGACCGTCCCACACCAGAAATCAGTGGACGCCCTGGGGTTCCAGGGTTGGGTCTCTTGTGGAAGGTTCTTGTGGTGGAGCTCCTGCTGTAGGGCACCAGCCCAGATGTATCGAGAGCGCGAGCGGCCGACACTGCATCGAGCAGGGCCCGCGTAGGGCGCCAAGCCGTACAGCACCGAGTGCGAGCGGCCACGGTGTGGAGCGCCTGCGTGCTTCTCTATTCGTGCCCCGGCTGGTCAGGGAAGTCCGTGTTGGTGATTTCCCATTCGCTTACGCGCCCAGCAGAGGGTTTCGAGGACCTGGGCGAGAAGGCGCGTCAGCTCCTGGCCCGATCGTCGATGGGCATGACAGAAGGAAACGCAGGGAAGGCGGTGCAACATGGTGCCAGGAAGCGCCCGGGCGAATAGGACATAGCCCCCAGAAGAGTTCCTCTTTGGTGGCCATTATGAAGCCAAATCGAGTGAGAATTCAGTCTGCATCCCACTATCGCTTTGCCATCTGAGACAGCGCGGGGCACGATGCTTGTTGGTTTCCACCTCTTTGTCGGATATCTCGAGCTCGGACCCCCACGAGCTCCAGAGCTTTGGGAAAGGGCTCCACAGAGCTCTGGGCCACTTCCAGGGGGCCGCTTTTTCTGTGACGGTCCCGGGGCCCAGCGAGGCCCCCAGGAGTCGAAAACGACGAACATTTTCCGCCTTGCTTATGGGTTCACCGAACAACCCAATTTAGATGCTCGTTTTGGGGACCTTTCTGGGGCCCACCCAGTGGATCTGTTCGACCCCAGTTCGATTCAAGTTCGACTTAAGTTCGACTCAAGTTCGACTCAGATTCGATTCAAAATCGGCTCGAATCGACAGACGATCGACCCAACTTCGACGCACGAGTGAAACGAGTAGCTCCAGGAAGGTCCCCAGATGCGCAGCCAACCCCACATCGTTGGCCACATGTGCGTTGCCGTGCACGCCATCTTTTCGCAGTGGCTGTGGGGGCCCTGCCTTCCGAGGCAAGCCACGCGGCATTGCACCCACAGGCCATCGCAGAAAACTTGATTGCATAGTTACCTGGGGGTGGACGTCGAGATTCAGATTTGCGAGGAGGGCATTTACAACGTACTGGAGAAATTGTTGTTTTTGGCTCGTGGAACGTCGAGGGCTTGACAGAGGCCATGCATAAGGAGCTGCAGATTCACATGGAGTCGCTGGACATGGACGCGCTCGCGCCCCAGGAGACCCACAAGTACAAGCCAATGTATTGCGCCAGTGAGCGTGGACTCCTGTTGCTCTTGTCTGGAAACCCAGGCGACACAGTGACTGCAGGATTTGGCTGCCTTGCATCTCTGGGAGATCGCAAGAACCTGATTGTATGCACCGTGATGTTTTCTGGGGCCGTTTATTTGAAAATGCGTGTCTCGCGAGGGGGGGTCCCAGTCTTCAGCGTGAATGCCCCCCACTGCGGGAAGCCCATGGAGGACCGCAGAGACTTCTACCGAGAGCCGGGCACGACAATTCGCAGAACCCCGGGGCACGACCCGGCTCTGTTGTTGGAGCACTCGGCGCGGGGGTGCAGCGACGTCTTCTGGCTAGAATGCACACTCTGACCGTCGCTTCTGGTGCGAGGCTCGCGCCATTCCGCCGACCCCCCCTTGGGGGGGCTCCTCGGGCAGAGGCTCTCGCGGGGCCGTCGTCGGGCCTCCCTCTGTCAATGCAGGCAAGACCGCCCGGACCCGATCATTGGCGTTTTTGCTAAAAGGCGCTGGGCGTTTACCGAACCGCCCTGCCCTGTTTGCTTCCGTCTCCGGGTGCGTTTACGAAACGACCTCGCGCGTCGGGGTGGTCATTGTCGGGGTGGATTTTCGGCGCTCTATCTCGGGGGCAACGTGAATCTCGGAGCCGAGAAAGTCGCTGATGGGCGTCACGCCGTTTTTTCGCGGTCAGAGCTGCCTGTTGGGCGAGGCGCCCAGGCCTGCTGGGGAGAGGCCTATGCGCAGGCGTCTCGCAGAAGGCGGCGCGCGTCCGTCCGAGTTCGGTCGGAGCCCCCCCCCCCTGCGAAGGGGCTTCGGCGGGGCGAAGGGTTTTTCCGAAGGGCTCAGGCGACCCGTCCTCCTCTCTCCTCCTCCTCCTCCTCCTCCTCCTCCTCCTCCTCCTCCTCCTCCTCCTCCTCCTCCTCCTCCTCCTCCTCCTCCTCCTCCTCCTCCTCCTCCTCCTCCTCCCCCTCCCCCCCTCCCCCCCCCCCTCCTCCTCCTCCTCCTCCTCCTCCTCCTCCTCCTCGTCCTCCTCCTCCTCCTCCTCGGGTCGCCTGCTGCCCTGGGGGAACCTTGCACGGCGGGGGCCCGCGGCGAGGAACTCATGGCCCAAGGTCAGTTCCAGCGAAGTCTGTGGAAGGTCAACGGGCATTCGTATTGGGTGGCCCAGGCCCCTGCAAGGGAACCTGGTCTTGGTTTGCTTTTCGCGTTGGCACCGCGCGGATCGTCGAAACCAGGGAGGCCTCGATGTGGCCACGCACAGGCCCCCCGCAAGCTCACGGGAGGGGCCGCCCATACGTCCCGTCTGAGGCCGTTGAGAGGTGAGCGTCCTTCTCAACTTGGTGGGTTGTTTGGCGAGGCCCGTTCCCCATCCTCAACCTCCCGAGCGCGCCTGCCCAACCACTTTGGATTGGCGTCATATGAGGTTGCCGAAGTTCCCCGTCCCCGTGTGCGACCGTTTGTCGAGCAGGAGGCGCCCACGAGGATGGAGTTTTCGTCGGCGCTTCTCGCCTTCGGGTTCAGCTCTTGAGAAGAAGCGGAGCAGGTGGGCAATCGCGAGCTGTGAGCGCTTGCCGCGGCTTCTTTTCGGAGGTCCACAGGAGAGCCAGACCCAGAGGACGATTCATGTCTTCTGGGGGGGTATCCTATCGGTGGGCCCCGCACGTGATGGCGCCCCTCAAGCGGGGAACACGAAGGTCTCCCTGGATGGATACCCGCATCCCGTTTTCCATCTCTCCCCTGGATGAGTTTCCCTACATGGGCAGTGGACCTCCTCCTTTCTCGTCCTTCTCCTTTGTTCCTGCTCATGCTCCTATCCATCCGCCATTACCTCCAGTGTGCGCAGTTCCTGCTTTTCCCGCTTAAGCATAACACGATGGGGCCTTCTGTGGAGGTCCAGGTCCGCTACGACACGCGTTGGCGGACAGAGCAGAACACAGCGCAATGGGAAGGGATGGGTGGGAGTGGCAGGATGTCAGACATGGCGCCAGTTCCCGGACCAGAGCTGCTCAGTTTGATGGCCACCTCCCGCCGCGCAGGTTGGGACCCTCGGGGGGCAAACCAGGATGCGGGATAGGGCGCGAGCGCACATCATGGCAGTGCATTCCCGTCTCCCCCATCCCCCATCCCCGCATCGAGCAGCGCTCACAAAGCGACGACGCCGTGCCCCTCGCCGCCGCGGCCTGGGCCCTCGACGCTCCGTCCTGCCCCTCCCCTCCTCACTGGACGACAGAGGGGAACGGGTTATTGATGGCAGCTTTGGTCTCCATACTGTGCGCTCCAGGCAGGCCCTCGCTCTCAAGGATCGGAGGAGTTGGTAGCTTTTCCTCGGCAGATGGGCGGCGGAAGGCGGCGGACGTAAAATGAGGGCGCCTCCTCAGGCGGAAGGGCGGCGAGAGCTGGCGGAGGTCACAATCGGCCTCCCAAGAGATGTTTTTTTGTTTGGGGGGGCGGGGTCTGTGTTTTCGGACCCCCTGGGGTCGTCTATAGTTACCATTCGCGGCCTGTATATGTCACTAGGGGCAGGGAGGCGGGGAGGCCGAACTTTCCCATGCCCCGGCAAAGCTCCAATCATAGCTCTGATCTTCAGGCCATGCGAAAACCATGAGCAATCCTTACTACCTTTCGCCTAACGCGTCCTATCCAATGTTGTGAGGATGTCTCTTGCGAAGCGCGCATTCGAACGCGCATGTTTCATAGATTCGCCAAATTATTTACTATCAGTTGCTCGAGGATGTCTTAAGCAAGACACTTGATTATGTAAAAGATTACCCCGGCAAAGCAACCTAACAGCGATGTGTAGAAGCATAGCTGGAAACATTGCTTGTGGTATTCATGTAAGAGTGCTGTTGTAGAATTCTGGTGTTCTCGCAGTCGCATTCGGATTCGCAGTGGCAGTCGCAGTGGCAACATAAGCGGCAGTCGCAGTGGCACTGCCAGTAGTTGCAGTAGCAATAGCTACACTGGCAGCATCAACAGCAGCAGCAGCAGCAGTCATAGTAACAGTAGTAGTAGCAGTAGAAGTAGTAGTGATGGTAGTAGTGGTAACAGTGAAGTAGTAGTTGATCTCCATGAGCTTAACTACTACTTCATCTCGGTGGTAACAGTGAAGTAGTGGTAACAGTGAGTAGTAGTGGTAACAGTGAAGTTGCTGCATGAACTCCTCGGTCTTCTGCTTCCGCTTGAGCTCCTCGGTCTCCCTCTGCTGATCAGCACAGCCCAGGGCCCGCAGTTCATTCAAAATGTCTTTGGGGATGCGGTCGCGATGGTCCGAGAAACGTTTGGCCAACTTGTTTTCGGCCCGTTCTTGTTCGGACGTTCCTCTATTTCGCTTCGGTATCCGGCCGGACTGCTTCACGTGCTCGACGAGCGTTTGCAGAGGACCGCTCAATGCAGCACGCTGAGGAGTAGCGCTGTTCCCTGCCGCAGGCTGAGGAGCACCGCTGTTCAATGCAGCGCGGTCAGGAGCACCGCCGCCAGACCGAGAACTATCAGCATGTCCTGGCATTAAGGTGCGCAGTAGGCGCTGCGCAGTTCCTTTGAAAGGAAATCTTCGAAAGCAAGGCTGTAGCCAAGAAGGCTACGGGGCTGATGCTGATGCTGATGATGCTGATGATGATGATGATGATGATGATGATGATGATGATGATGATGATGAGTCTTGGAAGTCTGGGAAGTGGAAGAGCACGAAGTGGCGTACAGTTGGCTCCGGGCATTCAAAATGTGGCCCGGGAACGGTGTTCCGGGAAGTCGAGGAGCACGAGGTGGCCTACAGTTGGCTCCGGGCGTTCAAAATGTGGCCCGGGAGCGGTGTTCCGGGAAGTCGAAGAGCACGAAGTGGCCTACAGTTGGCCCCCGGCATCCAAAATGTGGCCCGGGAATGGGGTTCTGGGAAGTCGAAGGGCACGAAGTGGTCTACAATTGGCTCCGGGCATTCAACATGTGGCCCGGGAATGGAGATCTGGGAAGTCGAAAAGCACGAAGTGCCTTACAGTTGGTTCCGAGCATCCAAAATGTGGCCCGGGAGTGGAGTTCTGGGAAGTCGAAGAGCACGAAGTGGCTTACAGTTGGCTCCGAGCATCCAAAATGTGGCCCGGGAATGGAGTTCTGGGAAGTCGTAGAGCACGAAGTGGCCTACAGATGGCTTCGGGCATTCAAAATGTGGCCCGGGAATGGAGTTCTGGGAGGTCGAAGAGCACGAAGTGTGTGACTGTTTGTTTAAAACGAGCCCGGCCCGGAGCCCGGCCCTCGATGTCCGGATGCCGTCCAGACCTCCCTTCTGAGTCATCAGATGTTTTTTTTTGACACCACTAGAAACCTATCAGTCTTCGCTGTTAGGTAACGTTGTCTCGTACATATCATTCGTGTGAGGATGTCTCTGGCGAAATGCTCAGTTTTTTCCAGTTGCCCCATAGTGTTTCGCAGAACTCCTGCTCACTAAACTCCTCCAGACAGGCACTCAGGGGAGGTTTCGTGAGATCACTTTGGATGTCATTCAACACCGGTTCAGACATCCTAGCGTCGATATCCCCATGGGATTATTCTCGCGGGCATGGGGTTACTGCCGATTTTCCCCAACTCCGCCCCCTCGCAGAGTTCTGGCGCGAGCAGCGGTGTGGATAAAACGTCGACTGCCTGCAGCGAGCCGCCGAAGCCGTCGGTGTTAAGGACTTGCGCCGCCACGACTGGGGGAAGTGAGAATAGGAGCCCAGCAGAGCTCCCGCAACTACTTTTCGGGCATCCCGGGCAGCACCCGTGATTACTTGTCGGATTTCAAGCAGGTCCAGCGAATTCTTTTTGGGCCTCCCAGGCAGCTCCCGAGAGTTTTTGTTCGGGCCTTGAAGGCTGCTAGTTTGTTTTCCCATTGTTCTAAGCCCCCGGGGCCATCCCTGCCGGCGAGCAATCATCTTGCCACCAGCACCTGCTTCTTCCTTGCCATAGCGCCTCCCGAGACCACCGACGTTATATTTGTTTCGCGACGCGGGCTCCCAGAGGTCTGGACCCAGCCCCAGGGAATGATATTTTATTCCGAGCTGTTCTCGACGGTCCTTGGGCCCCCCAGGGGCCGATCACTGGCAAAGACCTTCCGTCATGATCTTTAGATCGTGTTTCTTTCGCCATCTGGACTATACCGCCCCCCTCCCTTCCCCACCACCGCGCCGCGAGTGAAGATGTTTTCTCTCCTCCTCCTCCTCCTTCTCCTCCTCCTCCTCCTCCTCCGTCTGTTCCTCCGTCTGCTCCTCCTTCTGCTTCTCCTTTTCCTCCTCCTCCTCCTCCTCCTCCTCCTCCTCCTCCTCCTCCTCCTCCTCCTCCTCCCTCCTCCTCCTCCTCCTCCTCCCCCTCCTCCCCCTCCTCCCCTCCTCCTCCTCCTCCTCCTCCTCCTCCTCCCTCCTCCTCCTCCTCCTCCTCCTCCTCCTCCTCCTCCTCCTCCTCCTCCTCCTCCTCTCCTCCTCCTCCCCCCGCGCCATCTTTTGTTTCCCCTCATGCCCAATTCGGCTCCGAGGTGTCCCTCGACTGCCCCGAACGCGACCGAAACAGATGCCCTCTTACACAGCGCGACCCACAGAGGACACCCCCCCCCTTCCCTCCCTTCCCCTCCTCCTTCCTCCCTCCCTCCCCTTCTCCCTCCTCCCTCCTTCATCCTCCCCCTTCCACACGGCCACGGCACGTGGCCGGCCGGCGGCCCCGCAGCGCCTTGGCGACCGCCCACGCGCGCGCGGCGGCCCGGAGGTGGCCACCGAAGCCGCCGCTGCTGCGGTTCAAGATGCGCGAGCTCTTCGCGGGCCGCTTCAAGACCTCGGAGGACCGCCGCCGGCCCGAAGCGTGTGCCGACCTCAGGGATTCCCTCGCGTTTTTTGAAGGCACGGCCCTCGGACTGTCATCGCATCGGATCGCCTCGGGGTTACCAATCCCAGGGGCAGGGATAAGTTCGAGGGCCACTTCAAGACCTCAGAGGACCGAGGTGCGCAGCGTGGAGGACGAGGTACGCATACTGCTACCCTTGCCTCGTTTTTGCCGTCTTGGACTTCCTGGGAGGCCCTCGTCGCTACGGCTGGATTTGCTTCGAGATTCTGGTCAGAAAGCACCCTGAGAGAGGTCTGGAGAGTTGCGGTATCGGTACCCTCTGATTTCCCCACCGAGGGACCGGTCAGGATCGTTTGACCGACCCCTATTCCCATCGCAATCCCCATCCAGACCCCCTATCATCTCAGCACCCCAGTTTGGGATATCCCAGAGGAGCTTTTTCTGGTTTTTGTTTTTCGGAAACAAGAAATTCTTATGTTTTGTGTTGAAAACAAGAAAACAAGAAATTTCGGATTTTCTTGTTTTGGGTGTTGAACACAAAAAATACATGACGTTCCTGATGTCAGGTGTTCCTCGTTAGGGTTGTGCCCGTTGAGCGTTTGGATTCACTCTGATGCTGTTGGATTGACGCTTTGCCCTTGTCGGGCGCGGTTGTGCGACTTGTTCGAGCCTTTGCCGAGGTACAACGGAGCACGTTCCTTTCGCGCTCTCATGAAAAATCAAAATAAGGCGAGGAGGAGGAAAGGAGGAGGAAGAATAACGTTGGGAGGAGGAGGGGAGGAGGAAGTGAAGGAGTAGGTGAAAAAGATAGGAACATGATGCAGGAGAGGGGAGAGTGGAGGGGGGACGAAACAGCATTGAGCAAGAGCAGTCTTGTCAGGCACTGCAAACATTCTCGCTTACATCCAGAAGCGCCCCCTCGAAGGACGAACGCCCCGTGGGCCTGGCATTGTTGAGGAATCACAGCCTTGCACAAGATCAGCCCTCCATCTGTGTAGCTGTTGCGCAATTGAACCCTGTCGAAATATATACACACTGGGGGGCGTCCCAATCGAGAGAACATTTTGAAAATGGATCGCCGTCCATCCGTATACTTAGTTTTAGGCGTCCGTCCCCTTCCCGTATTCCCGCCGCGTGCTGCTTTAATCCCCGCGTTCATGTTTACAGTGGCCCTCGTGCTCGATTATTACGGCCCCGCTTCCCGTTGAGTGTAATAATCTCGGACGCTCCGCTGCTGAACGCATCCACAGGAGGAGGGGGCGAGAAGATCATGAGGGCATGTTCGACACGGCAGTTCGCTAAAGCGTGACACTTAGCGCACATCGCCAGCATCCAAACAAACATCAGATGCGGCTCAAAGCGGTGCCACGTGACGGGCTGGCAAGGATTGGGGCAGTTTGCGGCTGGCAATCCGAAACATTGTTTGCCAGGGAAGTTATAATTACATGGGGAGAACGGGGGAGGTAGACAGAGGGAGAGAGAAGGAGAGACAGAGGAAGAGAGAGAGAGAGAGAGAGAGAGAACGAGAGAGATAGAGGGGGAGAGAGGGAAAAGGAGAGAGAGAGAGAGAGAGAGAGAGAGAGAGGGTGAGAGGGAGGGAAGGAGGGAAGGAGGGCGGGAAGGGTGTTAAGTAAAAGGACCGTGGGAGACGGTGACGCCTGGGAGCGAAGACGTTCCTGATGCATGTCCCCCTCCCCAACAGTTTTAGATCGCCCTCTGAAGACAATCTCGCGGCCTAGCCAATCATGGCCTCAAGCTCCTCGTCCGTGAGCGGGGCTACAGGCGTGGGCTGGGGTGCGGGGTCCCACGGACAATCCGAAATACGTTGTGGCTCTTGCACACCTTGGTGCTGCGCTAGCTCCACGCGTGGGCCATGCGGCCTCTGCATCTTAAGAGGGTGAAACGTGGGGAACAGCGAAGACGTTGTGAATCGCAATGAAGCCCATTGCTCCCCCCATCCACTAACTTGGTGAAGGATTAGGAGTGTTGGAGGGCGAGGAGCACGGGGGAGGCTGAGAGCGAATGAAGCGAGGACGAGGGAGGACGAATGGGAATGATAGGGGAGAGGTGGGAAAGAGGGATGGGATTGGTTGGCAGATACGGAGCGTAGTCGACCTTCATTGCGATTCACGCTGTGCCTGGTGCGCGCCACTGGGGACGCACGGAGCGAGATGCAATGGATGCGCGCTCAATCGGCCCTGCTTCATCGGGCTTGGGCTCGAAATACTCGGGATCCTCGGGGTCGACCTCCTCGTCCGAAGTGCTCTCGAGATCGAAATCTAACTCTGGCGGAGGTTCGGGCCCGCGCTCATCCTTGTCAGTCTTGACTGTATCGGGCTGCCTTGCGAGGAGGGGGCGTGTGACTTAGATTCCCATATAAAGCAAATGGGTTTCTCCTCCTCCCCTCGATCGCGCATTCATTGAATGCTCGATCGAGGGGAGGACGAGGAACCCATTTGCTTACAAGGGGAACCCGAATCCACATGCCTGTTCGGGGTCGGCTCTGACTGCAGCTCGGGGCGAGTGGTCGGCTCTTGCTGTGGGCGAGGTTCGGGGCCCTCGCTGCTGCCAGGGCTGCTCTGCATGGCGCAATGCACGCGATCCGAGTGCTTATCGATGTTCTACCGTTCTCTCTGGACCGAGATGCTGGCAGAACTGACCCTGCATGCCAGAGAGTCCCTCCTCCGCCCTTCCTTGTCCTCTCCCCTTCTGGGTCCTCATCCCACTTCCCTCTAGCGTTCCACCCCGCCCCTGATCCTTACTTGTTTCGTATGCCCCCCCCCCACTCCTCCATGCTCGAACTGTGTGTATATATTTATGTGTTGTTATTGCCAGCTATCGAAACCTAGCAGAAAACAACGATAGTCCCATAGAGCTTGTCCAAGTTCAAGCATCCCCGAGTTTACCATAATGTTGGTTTCCAAACATGTCTAAACAGCCGAAGCAATCGGCCCCAAAAACTTGCGTTGACCAAGTTAGCATTCTACGTGGGTAATACACCTAGCCCCATGAACCAGAAGCGTGCATGTGACTTGGCAACGCGAGCAGCGATCAAAGCAGATCTGCCAAACCATCGAACAATTCAATCGGCTAAGGCTCGCAATTGCTCGATATGCGATCTCGAGCATGACGCACTTCCACCGCAACAGCCCTACAGCACTGCAAATGCCGAGTTCTGCTGAACGATCGGGAGCAACCTGATGCGTTGGAAAATTGTCCTCTCCCATGTGCTGCGGTGAGAGGATGACGCAATGCCTGCCAATATCAAATTAAGAGACTCGTCGTGGAATGTAGAGTAGAATCTCGGGTTCCCTTTAGGCCCAACCAAAAGGGTCATATGCACGAACTGGTGCGATTTAGGCTGCTTACCCAGCCCAATCTCCCCCATGAGAGTCAGATGTCGCAGACACAGGTCTAACAGCTCGTGCCTAGTGTCAAACGGGACTGCCCTCGGTGAAACTCGAAGCAGGAGCATATACCGCACAAGGGATTCCCCTGCGGCATGCAGCACATCTGCCTCTGGAAACTTAGTTGCGAACGATCTGCAAAAGTCAACAGCCCACCTTACTAACACTCCTGTTTCCGCCCCCTTTGTCTTCAGGGTTGGTTTGTCTGCAGTAGAAATCATACCTGGCGTGAGGTCTCTCAATTGGTACGACAAGTCTATTGAGCTATCGGAACACCAGACCTTATAGTCGTTGAACAATCGCTTGCATGTAACTGCGATTATCACTTCACCTGGGCCATCTATGCCGAACGCATTACCTCGAATTGCTGACCAAATAACAGCGTGGACATATGACTGGCAAACCCCGAGATACAGGCAATGAAGGGTGTCCACGTGCATCATGTTTTCATCCGCACCCACAGATGGTGAAAACAAAGGGTTCCGATGGTGCACCCTGTCCGTTATTCTTCTCTTGGCGTCGAAGTTTTTCCCACAGAAAACACACCAAAAAGGCAGCAGCTGCCTTGTGAACGCCCCCACGTCTTGCAGGCCCATGGACGGTTCTAGTCGGTCAAACCTTTTGAGGCCGAGTTCTGGGACGTCGCTGTCCAAGATGTACCCCCTGGGATTTTTTTCCTACCGAAGTGAAGCTTCCCTTTCGTAAGGATGAGGTCTCGGGTGGTCTCGTCTATGACGTGGACATCCTTCTCGCACTGCAAGCACGCTTGGTTGTAGGAGACGGCGTGGTCACCCCAAGAGTGGCCCGCCAACGAGATGCCCGTGAACCTGGGCCAGGCAACAACACATTGTCACATACATCACTTGGCACATGCTATAACGCTGGGCCTACCTACCTCGAGCTACCCGCACCCTACCCGTACCCTACCCGTGGCCTATCTTGCCCGTGGCCTACGATCTAGGGTGCGAGGATAAGAAAGATACACGTAGATACGAATGCTTGCGCAAATCGATGTGAACCGACTCCTCGTCATCCTCCCTCCTCGCTGTCCTCATACTCCTAAGTGCCCTCGCCACGTGCCCTGCTGTGTCCCATGTGTATGGTAAGCGTGGCGTCTTCGTTTTGTTTGGAGTGCGTGCGCGTGCGTGTCGTGGAGGTGTGTTGTTCGGGGCTGGAGAACCGCGCAAGCAAAAAACATATGTTCTGTTTGCCGCACCATTCCCCAAACAGCCCAAATCGCTATATTTAAGGCTTCCCGTCTCCAGCCATCGAGAGGTGTCTGGTAGGTTGTCTTTTCGAATTCCCGCAAGAACTGGTAGAGCGTGGACCTCGATGCTCGGCACCACAGGCAAGGAACATGATGTGCAGACCACGTAGGGAAACCAAGTAAATTACAATACGCCTCCCAGTCCCCCTTAATTTGGCACAGCACGAATCTAGCAGCCATCTGCGGCTCCCTGTTCACCAAATCCAACGACGCAGATCCATCAGGCCAGCGTGTCCCGTCCCATCGGACGCGAGGCCGCGAGCCAACGGTAGCTGCTGAAATCGACCATGCTATATAGTTATACACTGCCCATAGAGTACACCA